ACAAAAAGGTCTTCAAAATTGTTGGTGTTTAAAATTAGCTTGAGTCAGGGTCTTTTTAGCTTATACAGGAACTTGAACGCTTTTATAGATTTTACACTGAAAGTTAAACCAAGTTTGATGCTGGAATAACGTTTTTGAATGTCTTTTCATAAAATAGTATATTGAACTCAAATTTATGTGTGCTAATCATCGAGAGTCATAGAAAAATTCATATATTATATTTATTTATTGTATTCAATATATATATTATATTTGCATTATACAAGATTGTTAAATTACTCTGACAAAAGTATACAATATTCAGACTTTTTCACATTTTGCTTGTTTTCAGCTCTACTTTGGTTTTTAGCCAAATTGAAGTTATGTCTCTTCACCCGTCCATAAACCTTTTTAGAAGCTTCAGATGTAAGTTTTACAGCTCTTTCCACCGACTGAGAATTGTTTGGCAAGTCAGTTATAGAAAGTTTATTTCCGGTTTGAATAGCTTGTTTTAATTCATTTGAAGAAATAAAAATTGTAGTGGGAGGTTCAATTTGTATTGAAGAAACTTCAATTAAATCGGTCCAAACATCAGCATTTTTTTTTTTTTTTTTTTTTTTTTTTTAATTTTATTTTAGGTGCCTCAAGAAGTCCTTACGGTCTTATCACAGAGCACCGCGGATGAGCATTTAATTGGAAGTTCACGCCTCCTTCCTAACTGATGTCGTAAAACTTGCCCAGAGGTGGGGTTTGAACCATGGATCATTTGTTTCTGAGGCAAGTGCACAACCACTGCGCCACGGCTGCTCAAGTTTGATTGCATTGAAGCATTGAAGTTCAAGGTCATAATTGTCTTAGCTTGGATTTTAGGCTTAAAGTCTGGATTAGTTTCCCTAGATAACCTAATCTCCAAGATTTTATTGAGAGCACGATCTCGTACAACTTTTTCATCGTCTAATAGCATAGCGTAAAGAAAGTTTTCTTGACAGCAGCAATAGGAGTTACCCTGAAGATTTTTCAATACAATCTTTTTAATTCTGTCATCCTGTTTTTTGACTATCTGTATCTGTTTTATGGAGAAGCCTTGGTGCATCTTTGTAGTGCGCTGAACTTTTTACAGCAAACCACATTGGACAGTAGACTTGGACTATGTACTTTGTGATGCAGTTTAGATCATGTGTAGGTATCTCAGTTCTTGCATAAACCATCATAATTCTTAAAGCAAGGGTTAGCCAGCGTGCATGACAGACAGGACCAGGTTTCTTATTAGCATGCTTCACAGAAATTGAACCTTTAGCTATTCCAATGCAATACTCATAAAGTTTACACTGTTCTGTACTCAGATCGCAAATAATGGCGGGATTTACATAAAACTCTATCTCGGAATCTATAGGAATAAACTGAACCAAAGGTTGTTCATGCATGAATATATTAGACGCTTGTATACCAATAGGACCTTTGTATTTTTTTGGATCATTAGTTTGTCCATCTATTTCAGATATAACATGACGAAGAGGTAACTCACCCTGGTGAAGCAAACATCCAACTAAATGAATGCTACGATTCAAAAGCTTTTCTAATTTTACAACTAAACCATTATTTACGCCAGTGTTAGAGCTTGTATTGTCAAGAACAATCGCTTCTAAACTTTTAACACTGTTGTATTCAGAAAGCACATTTAATGTTGCTAGAGCCATAGTACCACCTTTACCATTTTCTATTATCACATGTGTGAGATAATTTCCAGAGAATGGATAATTTTCACAAGTAAAAGTGAGATGATGTTCATCATCGGTGGTTCGATAAAAAAAAGGGTCCCCATTGCTCTTGTATTTCATGACATGAACTAATGAATTTTTGTCTTTCTTGCTATCAATACCAATTACCTTTATTTCTAAAACTTTTTGACGATGCGTAGTGTCAATTGATTTAGCCACTCGTGCTTTTTCACAAAATACCTTATATTCTGTCACTATCTGAGATTTAAACAATTCTTTCTCAACCTTGTAACCGTATTGAATGACCTGTTTATAAGTTGGTAGATCGCTTACGGGTAAATCAGAGGCTTTTCCAGCAAATCTTTCACTATTAATACGAGTTTTGTTTAAAACTTTCACAGGTCGTCCAAGTTTTTTTGAGCTCATGCTAATATGACAATATGAATTTATTATATAACTAAAAAATAAAAGAAGAAACTATTTTTCGATTTAAGTTTCTAAATGAAATATGTTTTAAGCTATTTGTTAAAAACAAATACGTTTAAAACTTACGTTTTAGTTTGGTAAACAAATTTTATATCGAACGCAAATCTTCGTAGTTTGCTGTATATTTTATACGTTTAAAAAAAACAACCGCATAAAAGTAGAGTTTTATTTACGGACCTTAAGTGACTTCATGTAGAATTTGAAAGTTTTTCTATTGCATTTCCCAAAAAGATTAAACATTTTTTGACTTTTTTTTTGTGGCAAACAAATAATATATCCACAATACATAAATCTTACACTGAGCCAAGTGTTTTCATATACATGACAGTGGCTTATTCTATAAGTTTCTGGCTGCATACATTAAATTTATCCCAGTTAAATTTATCCCAGCAAATTTATCCCAGTGACCCAATACCACCTCGTATGTATGGTGTAGTGAAGGCACATAAACCTGAAAAATCTTATCCAATGCGAATTGTAGTATCTACAATAGACACACCAAACTACGGAATCTCAAATTACTTAGTAAAACTTATACAACCAATATTAAATGAAAACCCAACTCGATTAAAAAATTCGCAACAATTTGTAGAAAAAGCAAAATCATGGGACATATCCAGTGACAAAATTCAGATATCATTAGACGTTATAAACTTATACCCGTCAATTCCACTTAAAAAAGCAACTGATCTACTCATAAGTATATTGGAGGTGAGCGATAATTTTAAAAAAATGACAAAATTAAATATAAAAGAAATAAAAACTCTGATAGAACTATGTTTATACCGACCATACTTTTTATGGAATAATGAAATATATGAATTTGAAAATTCAGGTGCAATAGGTTTTTCTTTTATGGTAGTTTTAGCTGAATCTTTTCTTCAAAATCTTGAAAAAAGAGCGCTTAATATAGCGCTGAAAACCAACCCGATTATTGACATGAAATCATTTTATAGATACGTAGATGACAGCCATGCTAGAGTCCCTAACATTGCCCAGGCTAATCAATTCAAGACAATACTTAACCAACAGCATCCAAAAATACAATATACAATCGAATTTGAAAATGATAAAAAAACACTAAATTTTCTAGACTTATGCATAATAAATAACAAAAATGGCAAATACGAATTTAAAATACACAGAAAAAATGCAATTACTAACCCACAAATTTTAAATGGAATATTCAAGGGTTTTGTACATAGAGCATTTAATGTATGAAGTCAGAAACATAGAAAGTGAACTGAAATTCCTTATTCAAGTATTTGTCGAAAATGGTTACAAATATTCCAATCTCATAAAAATCATAAAAGAAATAAAACGAAAGTACAAAAAACCTCTAGTGACTACTAAAAACATTGACAACATCACCAGTACGTATCCAACAATTTCATTACCTTGGGTACCAATATTGTCTCCCAAATTGCGTAAAGTGTTTAGGAAGGCAGGATATAAAACGGTCTTCAAATCAAACTTAAACCTAGAAGCAATATTGACTTCAAGAAATAAATCCAAACTACAAAGGAACAGCCACCCAGGAGTTTACCTTATTAAGTGCCATTGTAACAAAAAGTATATTGGTGAAACAAAAATGCAAATAAAAACATGCATGCAACAACACAAAAACAGTACAATAGGAAATAAAACAGAAAGATCAGCATTAGCCACACACATGAAACATTGTGCACAACAAATTAACTGGGACAGTTGCAGAACTCTAAAAGTCAATAACAAAAAGTTTGATAGGAAAGTTCGTGAGGCGCTTGAAATACAGTACCACCAATGTGCCCCTCAACAAAGTGGTATCAATTTAGATGAGGGACAATATGTGTCAACAAAATTCTTGACACCATTTCTAATGCACTTACGTCAGAAAAAGACGAAACCATTCCATTGACATATAATAAAATTGCCGTTTAAAAATAACATATAAACAAAAACAAACAAAATCTTTTAAGCTGAAGACGCTGGTCACAACAATCCAGCAAAAATTTCTTTTAAAAAATAAAAAATAAATTTAGTATTGAGAGAAAATCGTATTTATTGATGTTTATAAAATAATAATAATAATATATATATATATATATATATATATATATATATATATATATATATATATATATATATATATATATATATATATATATATATATATATATATATATATATATATAAATTAGTAGAAAATCACTTAGCAAAACTTTTTCTCATTTAACACTGCGTTTCATCAATAAAGACTCATCAGTGCTGCTACAACGACTGAGGGTTTGGTTTGGGCAGGCAGTCTATCATTTTTTTTTAAAAAAAAATTTTTTTAAAGTTTTTTAACATTTTCTGGTCAGGCTTATTAACACGCTCTTTAAAACAACAGTTTATGGAAAAAACTTTGTGACTACCATACAAGACACATATATATGTGTATATATATATTTATATATATATACATATTTATATATATTTATATATATATACATATAGGTTGCTCTAAAGTTTTTTTAATTTCAATTTAAAAAATTGCCTGTCCAAGTCAATGTAGCAGCACTCATTGTATGTTTTATGTATTTAAGTTAGTCAATGTATGTACGCTGCTTGCTTGTTTTATCTATTCAAGTCCATTGTTGTATATACACTCCTAGCATATTATTTGTATTCTATATTTCTTCTTTTCCTCAAAAAGTGTCTAGATTAAATTAGTTATTTTAAAAGTTAAAATGAATAAAACATATTAGCATTGTATAGACTTAAATACGCAGTAGTAGTTTGCTTATTTTTAATTTATATTCCTTATTTATTATTTATAAAAGATTATGCTTTTAGGTGCTTAATAAAGTGAATTCTGGATACAGACTGCCTCCTCCAATGGTATGACTTTGCTTGTAAAAAAATAGCTATTTTAATTATTATTAGTTGAACAACAAAAATATGCACTTGTCTACTATTTTCACTTTTTGCTATTATTGTTGTCATGATTGATAAATTTATTTTCTTTAAGTTTCATAATAAAACCAATTTCAGGGTTGCCCACGTGTGGTTCATGATCTTATGTTAAACTGTTGGGAAAAAGAGAGGTCAAAACGACCATTGTTTAGTGTCATTAGAGATCGGATTGATGACTGGTTACAGATTCCAGAACTGCTTGATGAACTTGGACCAGTTGTAAAACTGTATGGTATTTTAACAGCTTTTTTTATTTTATGTTGTAAGGTTTCTTATTAATAATAATTTTAATTTACTTCATTTAAATAATTTGTTTTATCAACAAAAATTATATATTTACATAAATACATACACATAAATAACAACAAATGAGCACACATACATTGTGGATGTTTTTGTTTATATGTATGTGTGCATTAGTATGTCATACACATATGGTGCATTATTAATGTGTATATAGATTGTGTGTAATTGTTTGATAAAAGGATTATTAGTTTTCTTAAAAGCTCTTAATAAAGAGTATTGAGCTAGGTGTTAAGGATGAAGTCTGTGATTTGATCAAAATCTTGGATGATGTTAAAATCGAAATGCTTGTTGAGGTCATTTCCTTAAAGAATATAAGTGATCGAAGTCCTGAACTGTTTTAGTAAAATAACCAAGTCATGTTCTTGCTTTCCTTATTCAATTCCAGGGATTAAAAATTTAATACCTTTTTGTTTTTGTTTTGTTTTGCAACGTGTTATGTTTTGAACACCTACCGTAATTTTAATCCTAATTTTTATTAAACAATTTTTAACATTTTGAATTATATATGCAATGACTGATTTCCAAAAGTCATTGTTTTCTATATTTTGCATTTTATCATGTACCTACCATAGAAAATGGGTTCAGATATAAACAAAAATCAAATTCTGAACAAGTTTGTATCTAAAAAGCAGTTTAGTAAAAATGTTAGTTTTTGAACCAGAAGAATATTAAAGAAATACCTTCATGGAGTTGTGAAATGATAGAAGATGCAGTCATTGAATTATTTAACTACCTAAACTGCATCCTTCACATACACAGTTATGCAAAAAAAAAAAATTCAGTTATGAAAAAAAATACGGTTTTATGGAAGTAGGAATTAAATAATAAAAGTAGCAATGGAGCTGAATATTTTCAGAAGTAGATTGTCCTCATATACTACAAAGCAACAAGAAGTTAACAAGTCAGTGGCCAATATTCCCAATTGTAAATGGTAGACCTAGACATCCAGCTAGTCAAGGATCTGTTGAATGAGCAAATCAGGATGTTGTATGATGTTACATGTTTGGCTAATTGACAATAATACAAAAATTGGTCTATAGGTTGTTAATTTGTTCAACATCACAAGATTTCTTATTTTCATTAAACCGTTAAATGATCACCTTACAAAGTTATATTTGGAACAGTACCAAAAACAGTCCTCAATGCCAGTCATATCTCAAAAGAGTTACTTAAAAAACTTGTTACTAAAGAGGTTACCAGAAGTTAACAGATTACTTGCCAGTAGCTTCCAATTGAAGTGCTGTTTTTTTCCAGAGGAAAATAACAGCACTTCAACTCTAAAAGATCTATTAGTCTGTGAATTAGTTAATTACAATGTTTCAACTTCAAAAGATCTTTTAATAGTTAAATCAACCAATAATAATACTACTCCTAACCCTAACCCATGTGACTTCGTATGTCACATGTTCTGTCAACAGCTGATTTACTCACTGAAAAGGATTTTGATTAGAGGATCTACAAGAAATTGATCTATCATCAATTTCTTTATTAACAACAAGACATTAAACCAGTTAAACCATTAAACAACTCTACTTTAACTCCTGCTTTAATAGTTAAAACATGTGCAGTGTTACTTGCACATGTTTTAACTATTAAAGGGGAAGCTAAGGAAAAGCAGAAGGGGAAGCAACTAGTAGCAACAGTAAAGCATGTTGTGTTGTTTGTGAAATGGAAACTACTGATGATGCATTTTTTGAAAGCAAATATGGGAAGCAACAGCCTTTAAATCCACCATCTGTTTTTAAAAATATTCTGCCTACTAGGTTGGTTGAAAAGTTCGCGGAGCGGCACCTATGTTGCAGTAGTAGAAACAAATTTATAACTGTATTAAACGTATTCATTCTTCGTATGAACGCATAAAAAATTTCAAGTCGATATGTCATTTCAGTCTTTGTTTACAAGCTATTGAAATTAGACGTGTCATAGTATTTTTTAAAATGGAAAATATTGAACATCGTGCTGTAATAAAATTCTTTGTGAAAAAAGGTTTAAAGCCCATGGAAATTCATAATGAAATGGTAAATGTGTTGGGTGATGATGCTCCTTCAAAAACAACAGTATGCAAATGGGCTGCGGAGTTTCAACGTGGGCGTTCAAGCCTTGAAGATGACCCTCGCTCTGGACGTCCAAAAAGTGCTACTACTGAAGAAACGATTAATGCTGTGCATGACATGGTTATGGATGATAGACGATTGACCAAACGTGAAATTGCTGAGGCTGTGGGCATCTCAGATGAACGGGTATTACACATCTTGCACGATGAATTACGTCTGAGAAAGCTGTTGGCAAGATGGGTGCCGCATTCGCTAACTCTGGATCAGAAACGCACTCGAGTAAAACTTTCTCAAGAACATTTGGCCCGTTTTCAAAAGAATAAAACAGATTTTGTGCGTCGATTCGTAACCATGGATGAGACTTGGGTTTACCACTATGATCCGAAGCTGCGACAACAAACTGCAGAGTGGACAGAACCCGGTTGTTCAGCTCCGAAGCAAGTGAAGGCGTCAAAATCGTCAAAGAAGGTTATGGCATCAGTTTTTTGGGATGCGAAAGGAATTTTATTAATAGATTACCTTCAAACCGGTAAAACGATAACAGGTGAATATTATAAAAATCTTTTGGACCAGTTGGATAAAAAAATTCGTGAGAAAAGACCTGGTTTGCTGCATAAAAAAATCATTTATCACCAGGACAACGCACCTGCTCATATCAGCGATGTTGCAAAGGCGAAATTGGTCGAATTAAAGTACGAACGCTTGGAACATCCACCCTATTCACCAGATCTGGCTCCGTCCGACTTCCACCTCTTTCCACATCTCAAAAAATTTCTACGTGGAAAGCGTTTCTCATCACATGAAGAAGTCATTGCAGCCGTAAATGGGTATTTTGAAGGCCTTCCGGAATCGCACTTCAGAGATGGGATACATGAATTGGAGAATCGTTGGAAAAAGTGTATTGCTCTTAAGGGAGAATATACTGAAGAATAAAGTCATTTTTTGAATCATAAAATTGTTTTTTCATTTCCGCTCCGCGAACTTTTCAACCAACCTAGTACTTGTTTACCCACACCAGCAAATTAAAGTTAGGTTTTTGAAACATTTTACCAGATGAGTTAAATGATTTTCTAAAAGAGGATGAACTTAAATTTGATAGTATTTAATCTTTGTTAAGTGATAAAATGTTTTCCAAAAAAAGTTTACACATATAATCAAACTTGGTGTTATTATTTCTTTCTACCAACTTGGTGTTATTATTTTTTTCTACCAACTTGGTGTTATTATTTCTTTCTACCATTATTTCTTTTAGAAATTTTCGATGATTATTCATTTGTCGCTTACCATAATGGCACACCTTGTAATATTTTATCTTTAACTGTAACTAAATTACAATTAATAAAAATAAATTCAGCTTTATTTGAAGCAGTTTGATTTTTTTTAAATAAAGAAAGTTCGCATCAGTCAAATATTATATTTGAACACTTTAATGCTATGAGAAAAGTTAATGTTGGTTAAGTTTTATATACTCCAGATATATGTAGAGCATATGAGTATTTTTCTATGCGACAAAATTTATATGATCGTTTGTGTATTGGCTACAAGTTGCCAAGTATACAGACTTTAACATGATTGATTTCAAAAGTAAGCTCAATGGAGGATCTAAATTTTAGAAATAGTATTTTTATGAATTTAAATCCATTAAAAAAAGAACTTCCATACTTCTAATTGATAAAGTTTATGTCAAAGCCTCATTACTTTACCAAAAAGATGCTTTGTTTGGTTATGCAGAAAACTACCCTGAAAGATTAGCTAAACCAGTTTTATGATTTATGATTAAATGTCTTTTTGGAGGTCTAGAATTTATATGTAGAGCTCAACTTGTTGCAAATCTTTCCTCTGAGTTTCAGTTTGCTTAATGTCAAAAAATGGTTGATATAATAAATAATAATGATAATAGTAAGACACTGGCATTAAAAACTGATGGTAACAGTGTAAATCAGTTAATTTTATTTAAATTTAAATTAGTTAAAAAATATATAATATATTTATATATAATGTCTAAAAATAGTTAGATAAGCTAACACGACAGACTAAAGTGTACAGGTGATGAAATAAAATGTATAAATAAAATATCCAATGGCAAATGTTATCTCCAGGCAAACTTAAACCACCACGAATAATCTTTCTGACATAATCTTCAAACTGGTCAAAGTAAAATAATGTATCTTCAACTAGAGGATCTTCTCTATTGACATAGCCAGCAATGTAAACTAAAGATAATTTAATTTCTTTTGACAAATTGCTTTTAATAACTGGAAGATTATGAAACACATTAAACAAAAAATCTTCTTGCATTACAAAATTAGATTTGTCTCACAAATGGCTTGATGATATTTATAAATCATTAGCAGTAATATCAATATTCAGACAAAGTTTTGTTTTTTAAATATCAACTTTGTGTAATATTTGCTGAACATTTATAAAATAGTTACCACCTGATCCTTGCCGATGTTTTCTAAATGCTTTGCCAATAGGGTAACTAGTAAAATGTCCAAGGCAAACATAATTATGACTTGTAGTTAATAAATGTACTTCTAGTTCAACCATCCCACGACATGTATGAGAAAAAGCACGAGAAGTATCTTTGGTTAAATTTTTTAGTCTATGACCTTGTTTTTTAGGAGCCATTTTTTTCAACTGCTCCAAGAGAAGAAAACAAAATTGTAAACACTGCAATGAAAGTTAACATATATATATATATATATTGAATTAATAATTCATTCCTATGTGCGTTACTAAAGATAGAAAACGGAATGAAGTTTGAAACTAAATTTTAGGTTTTCTTCTTGTACTTTTTTTAAGAAAAATAAAATTTTAAGAATATTAAAATCTTAATTTTCAGGGCAACTTATAATTAATAATAATTATAAACAATTTTTTTTTTGTCAAATCACTTTGAACAGTTGTGAAGTTGTTAGAAAAAAATTTTTATAAAGTTTTAAAATTAACAATTTTATTAATTTATGAAGATATCGAGTTGTTTTTTTTCCCACATCATTATGATTTCCTCTCTAATCAGGCTACATAGCTTTTTTTAATAGATACATATCGTAGCTTTCGCAACAACCGTGTTGGTATCGCTATAGCGATAGATGGCTATACTCACATGGTAGTTATAGAACTGTTATGTTGTAATATCGCTAGCTAAAAAGCTACAAAATGTAGCCATTGACAAGCTTTATGTTTGTCATTATGTTGTAGTTATACCTACGTACGTGTAGTTATACCTACGTACATTATGTTGTAGTTATACCTACATACCTACGATCTATAGCGATCGATCTAATACTACTAATAGACTGTAATAATACTGCTAGCTACAAAGCTGCGATATGTAGCCATTGACTAGCTACTGATTTGTCATAATGTTGTAGCTAGCTACAAAGCTGCGATATGTAGCTAACGATATATCGTAATAATATCGATAGCTACAAAGCTACGATATGTACCTAACAATATATCGTAATAACATCGATAGCTACAAAGCTGCGATATGTAGCTAATAATATATCGTTATAATATCGATAGCAACAAAGCTACAATATTATTACAATAATAACATTTCCTGTGATCACAATGACCCAAATTTCTCTCGGATAATTGGATTTCCTTATTAGAAATCTAAATCACCTTGGCTTCCATTTCTAAAGTTATTTCTCATTTAGACTTTTCTACAATTTGTAATCCGAACAGCATTTCTGTCACAGTCTTACAAGTGTGTTCTCTACTTCACTCTATTTTCTTTTAGTTATTTTGAGGTAGATTATATATATATATATATATATATATATATATATATATATATATATATATATATATATATATATATATATATATATATATATATATATATAACGTAGTAAAATTGCAATATTACAAGTTTAATTATTATAATAAATATATTATATACAATACTAAAAATCGAATTATTTAAGATGTAAAAGACAAAATAATTCAATAATGTGAGAGAAAAAAATCTAAATAATATGGTCGGGCTATATTATGAACTAAAAAAATTTTTTATCAACTTTAGAGACGATGCACTTGATTATACTATCATGCAGACAATTAACAAATGGCTAGAGGCGATAGATATGGGAAGATATGCTAATAACTTTTTAGAACAAGGATTCGCCACACCACGACAAATATTACTATTGACAATGGATGATCTTGAAGCATTAGGAATTGGATCGTTAGAACACAGAAGAAGAATATTCAAAGCTATTGCCAATACGAAATCGCAGGTTATTTTATTTGCAAAATACAGTCTTTATTTAAAATATTTTTATTAAATAATACGACTCAAAAAATTTTAATTTGCAGGTTGAATCCAATTTGGTCCGTATGAACAGTAAAACAGGCACGTTTAAGTCGCAGGATTCGTCAAAATGAAAGAAAGCTATTGTTAAAAATCCCTTATTTTTTGTAAAGCATCTTATTTATATAAAGTACCCAGATGTTAAGGTATCAATCATAGAAACATTTATAATAAAATGAAGTAATTATATAAACATGTATAATAAAATAGCATATAAAGCATATAGTAAAGTATTTGCAAATCGGAATTTCACTTATCTATAGTAAAAATTGGATACGTAAATAGATATATTCGAGATAATCAAAACAAATAATTCTGAAGTGGGTTTGACGGATTTCGAAGGACAGCTTTTTTTTTTTTTTTTTTTTTTCAAGTTAAACTTAAAAATGTTTTCACCTCGTTACTATTGATGCGTGTTTGATGATGATTATTATTGAAATAATAAAAAAAAAAGTTGCACTAAACTATTTTCTCTTTATTATTTTTGATTACAATCAATTTTTTTGTCGTAGTTTAAACAAAAATATCAAAAATTAGTGCTTAAAGATAAACAAGAAGCCGAGTCTTTACAAATATCTGCATTTTATTCTATTCTATATGCGTGACCGTACGGTGATGAGAGTTCTGATGATTATTCTATTCTGTATGCTTGACCGTAAGGTGATGAAGGATACGTTATGTCGTAACATGATATTATCGTTGTAAGTAATGCCATGAAAACACCTAACCAACCAACAAAGTAAGACCAGTGGAATCGTATACTGTTGCTAAACTTATCATCGTTGAAGTATGTATAGATTGAAAGTCCAATTAACAAACTCAAACCTAAAAAAAGTTGTTACATTGTTAAATTTAACGCAGTTGTGGCGCAGTGGTTAGAGTTCTGGCTCAGAACCCAGACGTACGCAGTTGGACATCGACTCTAGCCCAATAAGCGAGATTGGTAAGGAAGGAGGCGTGAATTTTTTAGTTAAATTCTCTTCCGCGGTGCTCTGTGATAAGACTGTAAAGATTTATGGAAGCGACTTAATAACTACAATAAAAATAAATAAAAAATCTGTGCGTATATGCAGTCCAAACAACTAAATAATAACTAATATCTTTTTTTTAAACATGCTTTAAAAAATAAATCTAAACTTTAAATCAATTTTTTTTTTTTTTTTTTTTTTTTCAACGCAAGCATTCAACAAGAGCGGACGCGATTTTACCACGAGAAGAATAACAAAAAACATTTGGATTACTTTACATTTGAAAAAATATTCAAGCTTAATCTATAAAAATAATTTCTATTTTATAACGTATATTATACTATGGCAGTAACACTTTCTGAAATAAAAATATGTTAAAAGAAATCAGGGCCGTGCGGTGCTATGATACAAAGAGGCGGCCGCCTCAGGCGGCACCATTAAGGGGCGGCAAAGTAGCGAAATCAAAATGCAATTTCAGGGTTGCAATAATAATTAGGTACTAAATCATAAACTGGACTCATTTAAATTTTAATTACTACCAAACTCGTGAATGTTTTTATCACTTTAAAAGTTTTTTCATTGTCCACATTTTTCTATAAAAAAAAAATAAAAATTCTCCCTTATTTAGCATTCGCTTTTGCTATTCCTTTCAGTATGAATAAAAACGTTTTGAAACGCATATTAGCGTGGACTATTTTCTTATTATTTTTCAAAATACTGTTTTCAAACGTTTTTAAACGTTTGTGTTTGCCTGTCTTTGCAAGTTAAATTTTAACTTTGTAATGTCATCATGTTTTTAACTGTTAAAAACATGATGACATTACAAAGATTTTACAAAATTTTTACAAAAATTTATTACAGCAGTGACAGCAATCGTCAGCATGGAAAAGTCAATACAAAAAGAAACGCTTAAAGAATGAGGAACAAGAAAGAAAGCTCAGCAATGTTATGAAGAAATTCTTAGTACAAAAGTGCGGTTTAGATGAGCCATCCACATCAGCAGCAACTGATTTGGCAAATAACAACACAGTGCCGCCCCAATCACTTCCAGAAGAAGTTGTTGAAGAGAGCCAAATACTAACACCATCAGATCTTCATGAACAGCCAGGCAGCACATCCACGTCAACTGCGACTGCCTTGGATTTGGCAAATAAAAACACAGTGCCGCCCCAATCAATTCCAGAAAAAATTGTTGAAGAGATCCAAAAAATAACATCATCAGAAGTTCATCAAGAACCGGGCCGCATTAACAGTGGCAGTCAGCAGGTATTAAAAGAAATTCCTTCAGATCCTGCATTATGGCTTACTTTCTGCATGTCATCTCAAACTCGTCAACTACTGGTTGAGAGGGGTCCCCATCAAATTAAAGAATTCGAGTTTCCTATTAATAAAGGAAAGCGTAGATTTTTGCCCTCGTATTATTCGAAAGTGTTGAGCAATGGTGAAGTTGTTGAGAGAAGTTGGCTTATTTACTCTATTGCTAGTGATGCCGTTTTTTGCTTTTGTTGTATATTATTTGATAATTCGTCTGATATTAGTGACTGGCCCAAAAAAGGCTATTCTGACTGGAAAAATCTTATAAGAGCCCTCACAATGCACGAAAAGTCTGTAAATCACAGAAATGCTTTTAGAGCATGGAAAGAATTGGACATTCGATTGAAGCAGAAAAAAACTATTGACGCTGAATATCAACGAATTATGGATATGGAACTTCAGCATTGGAGAGGAGTTATAAAAAGAATTATGTCAATAATTAAACTATTGGCCTCACAATGTTCAGCTTTTCGTGGATCAACTGAACATTTGTTTCAACCTAATAACGGGAACTTCCTAAAGTTTGTAGAATTACTTTCTGAGTTTGATCCAGTTATGGAAGAACATATCAGGAGAGTTCAACGAGAGTCTGATAAATGGTCAGTGACTTATCTAAGCAATAATATTCAAGATGAATTGATAAATTTAATGGGAAATTCAATTTTAAGAAAAAATGTCGAAATAACAAAAATCGCTAAATATTTTTCTATAATCGCTGATTGTACCCCCGACGTCAGCCATTATGAACAGCTCTCCTTAACAATAAGAGTTGTTACTTTTAACTCCATTCCAAATAAATATGAAATTGCAGAATTCTTTATTGGTTTTTTTGAAGCTAGTGATTCAACCGGAGAAGGTTTGGCAAAACTTATTCTGACACATTTGGAAAAATTAGGTTTTGAGTTAAAGTGGCTTAAGGGACAAGGCTATGACAATGGAGCCAATATGAAAGGAGTAAGAAAGGGTGTTCAAAATAGAATACTTGAAAAATATCCAAGGGCTTTTTATGTGCCCTGCGCATGCCATTCTTTAAACCTTGTTGTGAATGATGCAGCGTCTTCTACTACAGAAACAACATTTTTTTTTTCTATTGTACAAGAACTTTACACTTTTTTTTCTGGTTCTACAAAGCGTTGGGAAGTGCTAAAAAAATATGTTTCTCAATTAACTCTGAAACCATTAAGTGCTACTAGGTGTGCAAGCAGAATAGATGCTTTAAAACCTTTACGATTTCAACTTTGCGAAATCTATGATGCATTGATTCTGATAATAGAAGACGTCAATAGAGATGCAGAAACTAAAGTTAAAGCGAGAGGGTTAGCAAAAAATATTAAAAATTACAAGTTTATATGTGGAGTAATTCTTTGGCATGATATTTTGTTTGAAATTAATTAAGTTTCGAAGCTTTTGCAATCTATTACTATAAATATATCAGATTGTGTAAGGATGCTATCAAAAACCATAAAAAAGTGAAAAGTTATAGACAATCTGGATATATTCAGATGAAAATTGCTGCAAAGGAGATAGCAGAGAATCTCGAATGCAGTACAGAATTTCCTGATGACACTGAAGTTAGACCCAGAAGGAAAAAGCGTCAATTTGACTATGAAAAAGCTGTCGATGAACCCTTAACAGAGGAGAAAAAATTTAAAATAAACTTTTTCAACTATATTCTGGACATTACCCTTAATTCTCTGAATGAACGATTCACGCTTCTGGAAACCCATAGCAAAAAATTTCAGTTCTTATATGACATTTTAAAACTCAAGGATATAGATGACAAAACGCTAGAAAATTATTGTTCCAGTCTTGAGTTTATACTTTCGGTTGAAAATGAAACAGATATAAATGCAAATGACCTTAGAGAAGAATTGCGTGATGTATCCAGAATGCTACCATATTCTACGAAACCTTTGGATGTTTTAAATTATTTATGCCAAAATAGCTTAATTAGTTTGTATCCAAATACTGTTGTAGCTCTGAGAATTTTATTAACTCTCCCTGTATCTGTAGCTAGTGGGGAAAGAAGTTTCTCCAAATTAAAATTAATAAAAAACTACTTAAGAAGTTCAATAGGACAAACAAAACTTAAAAATCTGGCATTAATTTCTATTGAATCTGCAATGGCTAGCACTCTAGACTACACATCAGTAATTAACGAATTTGCTAAAGTTAAAGTTAGAAGAGTAAAGCTCTAATACTGTACATTGTTGTAGTTTATAGTTGAAATCATTATTTTAAAATTTCAAAATAAAAAGTAGAATTCGTACATTTTGTGCAGTTTTTTTTTAAATCACAATTGAAGGTTATTTTAAAGAAAAACATTTAAGGGGCGGCATTTCGAAGATTTGCCTCATAATGAGAAAATCTACCGCACGGGCCTGAAAGAAATGTTTAAAGAATTCAAAAAAGAAACTGAAGAAATGCTTCGTAAACAAGAGAAAACTGTTATTGATATTATTAGCGCTAATATAAAAATAATTAACTACAGAATGGACAAAGCAGAGTTAAACATCAACGTGAATGCAAACAAAATTAAAGAACTTACAAAGGAATTACTGATTTGTCATAATGTTGTAGCTAGCTACAAAGCTACGATATATCGTTATAATATCGATATTATAACGATATATCGTTATATATATCGTTATATATATCGTAATAATATCGATATATATATCGTAATAATATCGTTATAATGATATATCGTTATATATATCGTAATAATATCGATAGCTACAAAGCTATCGATATTATTACGATAAATAGTTACAATTTTGTTTGCATTCACGTTGATGTTTAACTCTGCTTTGTCTATTCTGTCGTTAATTATTTTTATATTAGCGCCAATTATATCAATAGCAGTTTTCTTTTGTTTACGAAACATTTCTTCAGTTTCTTTTTTGAATTCTTTAAACACTTCTTTTTACATTTTTTTTATTTCAGATAAAAAGATATTAAGCATAGTCTAAACTAGAACGAAGAACTAGTTGGGGGTCGTCCATAAAGGACGTCATTCAGAATTTAATTACTAACCAGAAATAGAATTTTATTGGTTCTCTTCCGCGGAGATTTTTATTGAACATAAGGCGCTATATTACTCTTAAAATCTCTGCGCACAAGAGCCAACATTCTCCTACTTTTTGTCATTGTTAAACTTAAAGTGACATCTTTTATGGATGATCCCTTGACAAAAAAATTCATAACAACAATAAACAACTAGATAAAAAATTCGAACATACTAATATAGAAAAATTTATAATGGAAAAGCAACGAAACCTGGAAGATAGATCAAGAAGAAATAACCTACGAATCGATAAAATTGACGAAAATGGGCAAGAATCATGGGGGGACTCTGAAGAAAAAGTTCACACATTCTTTTGGCAAAAACTTGGACTGAAAAATATCTACATTGAACGTGCCCACCGTACTGGGTTGAAGAAAGATGGACTACCTAGGAAAATAGTACTTAACCTGCAGAAATACAAAGACAAAGTAAAAATCTTGAAAGAATCTCATCGACTGAAAGGCACGAGTTTTTTT